ACATACAAACATATTTTCACTTATATACGCAACATAAAAGCTTCCTGGTATTTGCGTGCGTATTGTGGGTGTTTTTTTTTTTTTTTTTTGCGGCAACAGGCCAACAGGATGTCAATAGTGAAGGCGTAAACGCCTCCTGTGGCGCAAGCAATTGTCTTCAATTGAGCGCAATAGCGAAGAAATATGTTTATGTAAACATATAATATGTGTATATGTGTAGTGTAAAAGTAATTTTGTTTACTTTTTTTTTCAGCAGCAATTTGCAACAATAGTTGTCAAAGACGCATGCGAAAAGAGGAGCACACTTCGATTGCTTATGACAGATAAGCCTGTAACGCTGCGCACTTCTTGATGCCATCTATGACATTTACATTGTTTACATAAACAAAAGCAATCACATGTGATTACATGCTACACTTATGTATATATATGTATGTGTATGTGTGCTTCAACTCATTCGGCACAGGATACTGCAATATAATATTTGTCTAATGAGCAACATTTATTAATCGTTGAACACCTGTTCACTAGGTCATTCAATGACCAAGGATAGATAGTCACTGCCAGTGTCGATTTTTGTCATAAACATATACATATTTGTATGTTTGTGTGTATGTATATTTTGCAATATTTGTTTTAATTTTTCGTAACACGAAGGTGATCCAAATTAAACGGCGGGGATACAATGTTAAAGTTATGTGGTTATAAGTAGTATACAGTTAGAATTTTCAAAAAGTCGTTTTATTTATTTTTTCTCTCTTAATTTACATATCTATGTATATTTGAGAATACACACAGAAAATTTCATATCGTTCGGGTGAATATTCTTTCTCAAAATGGTGTTTTCAAAGTCGGTGACCAATATTATTCGAAAAAGTTCTCAACTTTTAACACGAGCTTCTTAAATATATGTTATGCAAGGTGTATTCCAAATTAAACAGGACTTTTTGATTCTAGCGCCCCCTGGTGGTGCCATCTATATGTCGACTGGAATTGCTATCTTTATCGATTGACCAATGAGAATTTCATGACATTTCATCGACTGGAAGTGAAGTTATTGCGTTTTAAGTGTCAGTATGTTTGTGTTGTAGGTGCCAAAATGAGCTTTGAACAAAGAGCCAAAGTTTGTTTTAAAAGTAGTAAAACTTTTGACGAAACGTTTCAATTGATGACACATACTTCTGGCGTTGATTGCCTATCCCGTAGCACAGTGCACGGGTGGTTTCAATGTGAGGACCCAAATGACGATCAGCATGTGGCCCAATCAAAATCCGTGATCACCGGAAATTCCATCGAAACTGTGCGTGAATTCATCAAAAATCAGCCGTAAGCATCATTGCAATTCATGGAAATGAAATGAACATCTCCAAAACATCTATTTATTGCATTTTGACTGAACATTTGAGCTTACGAAAAGTGTGCGCACGGTTTGTTCCGCACAAATTGACTGACGACCGAAAAATTGCTTAGAATCTAACAATCGAAGGACGATTATATGCTCAAAAATCATTTTTTAACCAATTAACCACTGCCCGTATTCACCTAATATGGCACCGTGTGACTTCTTCCTTCAGGAAAAATTCATTCGACTACTGTTATTTTTTTCTGTTTACGAAATTGACGTTGCGGCTTCGTGGAATCCGTTTCCGTCGATCGAGTATTTATTTACAATTTCCGTTTTTTTATTTGGTCACAATGTATACAAAGTGGGTGCCGCGCGAACTGACTTTAGACCAAAAAGAAAGACGAGTTGATGATCCGGAGCAGTGTTTTGAGATGCGTAATAATTTCACTCAGAAGTCTAATCTAAAGTCACACGATGAACATGTTCCAAAGTGTGAAAAAGAGCGGCAGTCGGTTGACAAGATTATGGCGTCTGTAGTTATTTTGAAAAATGAAAGACCATCAACAGCGACTATTACATAGCGTTATTAAACCATTTGGAGGATGAAATCGTCGAAAAACATGTCACGGCAAACCTTACTGAACAAACTGACGAAAATCCGTATTTAAACATGGCCGCCATGAGATGTCAAAATATCGTGTCTGTTGTTGCAACGGGTACCTAATCCCCGTTAGGTTGCTAATGATTAGATAAGTTGGCGTCAATGTCATCTAACGTGCTCGACGGGGTCGGACCAAAGGGAGAAGGGTGTTAGATGAGTGGGGTTGGCGGGGCATGCAAATAGGTGGCCAGTGTCATGTGGGACTCATTACACGCTGGACATATCATATTTTATATGTTAGAACTAAGCTTCGTAAGAGTCAATCTCGTTTCTCACAACTACTCGAGCTCTTCGTCTGCAGTGGGTGATGATTTGACTCCAAGTTTTAATGGCTCCACTGTGAATGGCGGTCAGTGCTTGTCGTTAGTTAGTGGTCTGGTCGGCGTATTGTTTGATGTCGTACGAGGCGGTTCCGCTCCTGCGGGTGACTGCAGGGATGATTTCTGCGAAATCTCACGAGCAGAAACTGCCTATAGACCAACTCATTATGCCCTTTAACTGGGATGAGATACATCAAAAGACATCCTGTAGAAGTCCGGAGTGTAGTATTCTGACAGGACTGGAGCTTCCTCGCCTGCATTTCACTGCATCCAGCCGACCATATTGGTGCGGCGTAGTTAAGGACCGGCCGGTCAATTGCCTTGTAAGTTGCCAGCAACGTTTCTTTGTCCTTTCCCCGTGTGCTGCCGACTAGCGACTTGAGGATTTTGTTGCGGAGCTGTACCTTAACCATATTGCGGTCGTATAAGAAGTGAGGAGCACAGACTATCGAAAGTCACACCTAAGTAAGTCTGAGCCATTTAGATAAAAATCTTGTCATCTCTATTGGTTAGCCGTTATACTCGTAGAGGTTCCAGGTCAGAATCTCTCTCTTTTATTTTTTAATCATAATTTATTTAAGAATTTAAAAACAAAAATTCTAATTTTTCAAGTTTCAATTTTTAATTTATTATTCCGATTTTGAGAATTCAAGCATTGTAGCGAATATTTTAATTCAAAAATTTTGTATTGAAGTTACATTTGCAATTTATAATTCTGTGTGTGTGGAGAATAAAAATTAAATTTTAAATTCGTATTCCGACTATAGGATTAAAAATATAATTTTGAACTAAAAAATCGCAACTTGCTTGAAGGTTGGTTTTATAAATATTTTTTAATAACATTTATTTCTCGTTGCGTGTAATATTATACACATGTACATATGTGTAATATATATATATATATATATATATACATATATATTTTAACTATTAATATTTTGATTTTTAAGGCAATAATACCATACCAAACGATTTGAATTAGAGTACAATTTCAAAAAAAAATTATTTATAAAATTAAAAATTTAAATTTTTTATATAATTTTTTGGACAACCAAATAACATGAAGATCGAAATACACCCCTTAAATATCACTTAACTTTTTTAATTAATTTTCCGTGCCTGAATGTCCTACCCTCATGTATGTAGTTATGTAGATTCACATAAAAATTCGTATTTGCGGTAGTTCCTTTGTCAATATCGCATATTAAATTTCGCATTACTTTTTCGCCCAAAACAAATTCTAAACTGTACATGTATATTTACTTTTATACATACATATGTACATATTCATAGTGGTAATCTTACCTATATAATTATATAAATTTTGTGTGTATGAACCCAAGTTAAGCATGTGAGCAGCTACATGACAGTTGATTATGAGAGCGAGACATAGCGAGCATTTCGTGGTGACAAGATGGTCATTCGCTGATAAGCATGTACAATCAATAATAACATTTATATACATATGTATACGAATGTATGTTTTTATTATATACATACATATGCATACATGCCTTGTACAAAAAATGACTACAGAGAATTTATTTAATTATTATTCTTATGCCCTGAATGGGGGTATGTGAAATTAGCTTTTTGTTTATTTTTTAATTTTTTTTGTTATTTAATTTAATTTTTTTTTTAATTAATACAAATAAAAAATTAGTATATGTTCCTTTTTATTATCACTTTATTTCATTTACCATCCATTCAATGTTTTTCTCGCTGGGTAGCTACGTTATTACTACTCCGTGCGAAAAACGCTATGTGTTGCTGACAATCGCCTATTAGTTTTTGATACCATACCAATGTTGAGCCATTGTTTGTTGTTGATTGACATAGAAAATTTGCCGACAACAAATTGCAGTGACCACATATACACACAGTTACTTACATACATACGAGCATACCTCACGAGCAATGTCATTTAGCAGCGCTCCGTTATGCAGTGCTTCGTATGCGCATTCAGATCAACGATAAACCAGTCATTAAGCGCTAAAAATTAAAGCGCATGAAAATAAATTAAATTAATGTATTTTATATTCTGATATTGCTATATTTGTAATTTACAGTAAAAAGTTATTTTGAGTTCAATTAAATTACTATTTTATACACTATTGCATTGTGCTTTATTACAGCGATTTTGGACGACATGGCGTATGAGTAACTTTAACTTCGCATGGATAAGGCCATCAAACTCGTATGTAGCTGCGCTTAAAATTGAAATAAATGCGGTGAATAAAAATGCTTAAGCATATAAAATACATATGAATATATAAATAAAAACTCAATCAAACCCTTATTATGCACATTTAGTGCCATTTGTTTTATTCCTCATCCATGGTAATTCAAAATACTCATTAGATATCAATTTCGATATTGCTATGGAGTTGTAGCGACTACAAATATTTTATTCCGACGAAGTCTACTACATTCTGAATGTACATACATCTATAAATTAATATATATACTTACATATATATAACGCGAACATTGATAATAATACTTGTATTAACACATTTTTTTATAAAGAAAAAACAGAAAATATTCTAAAAATTTCTATATCGATAGAAGTTATTTATGAGTATACTGTTATCGATAGTCGAAACTATCATTATAATACGACGGCAACTCTACGGCACAGACAACAAACAAACAGCTGATTACAGCATTTTAGTTGGATTTGCATTTTGCTTCATTGACATTAATGTCTTTAATCAAAAACAAAATAAATATTATCATAAATAAAATATAATATATCAAAATGCTGCGAAAAAAGACCTCAAATACAAAAACTGTGTCGGATAAAATTTCAGAGTTGTTAGCACGTAACGCCAACGGTGAAGATGATAGCAGCGATGAGCAAAATGAAGACCCACGTGTGGAGGAGGAATTCGATGAATACGATTTGCCGGATGCACGCTCATCAGATATAAGAAAACGCAATGTAAAGCTGTTATCAGAGCAAAGTGCGCGTTATAGAGGGAAAATATCATCGCGAAATGAACTTGACGAAGAGGATGAAGAAGATTCTTCAGCAGATGAGCAAAGTGACGAAGAACAACATGAAGATGTTGATGAGAGTTCCTCCGAAGATGAAGATGCTTTAGGGGCGTTCACTAAAAAGTTGAATGGTGGTGTTAGTACGAAAGCTATAGCTGTGTCAGCAGAAGATGACAGTGAAGATGATATGGATTACAGCACTAATATTGAAAATTCAAGTGAAGAAAGTAATGAGGATGGAGTTGAGGATGAGGAAGAAGGCGATGAAGAAGAGGATTACGAAAATAGTGATTATGAAGATGGCGCAGAGAGTGAAGACGATGCTAGCGAAGAGGAGCACGCAGAGGGTACAGATATAATCGCTGAAACAAATCGTCAAGCTGAGGTGCAGAAAGGACAGTGTGTACAAAATCAGCTACAAATTTGGGAACGTTTATTGGAAATGCGTATACATACGCAAAAAATACTTAGCAAATCCAATCAGCTTCCTGCACCTAATACACTGAAAGCACATCAACAAGATAGTGAAAAATTAAGCAACATATCGCGTGAATCAGTTAGCAGTGTTAGTAAATTGCTTAGCACTTTGGTTCAACTACAAAATGCTTTTGATCAGCAATTTACGGAACAACGCAATGCATTGAAGAAGACGTTAAAACGGGCGCTACCCCAACATGATACTGAAGGAAACAACGCTGTGCCAATAAAACGTTTTGCTGAACACATTGATGAACATTTCCAAGAATTTAAACCCTATCGCAACTCAGTACTGCTCAAGTGGGACGATCGCACTAAATTGCTAACACCTGGTGCTGGTGCTAAGAAAAAATCGCTCTCTGAAGATTATGACATCATACGTAAAATTGAAAATACGTTACAAAATCGCAGCACACTCATTGAAAAATCGCAAACATCTAAAGACGGGGATGAGGCTACTACAGATAAAGAACTGGTTGAAAATGGTAATAGTGAAAATAAGCAAAAGTCCAAAAGAAATGTGGAACTTTATGATGATAGCGACTTTTATCATCAGCAACTGCGTGAACTTATCGAATATAAGAGCAACACATCCGTCAGTGCCAGTGAAGTGACGCAACAGTACATGGAGCTGCAGAAGTTGCGTCAAAAAATGAAGAAAAAGGTCGATACACGCGCCAGCAAGGGACGTAAATTGCGGTGAGTATGATAAGCAAATAAAAATTAATAAATTTCACAAAAAATTTAACAATTACAAATTTCATTACAGTTATACGGTGCACAATAAGCTGATAAATTTCATGGCGCCTGACGACACATCGACATGGACGGAGGAATCGAAAGAGGAATTGTATAGATCATTATTTGCTGCTTAGATTATTGTTATGTGGAAAAGTGGAACGTGTAAATAAAATGAACTGTGCCTGTGTAAAAAATTAATTTGCGACTGTTATCCTGCTTTTGTTTTTCTTGTTCTCGTCATTTTTAGCGTTTTTTGCCTAAATTGCGTTTCAGTTAAAAAGCTCATATATATTTTATTTTTCTATTATTTATTTAATAAACATAGTCGTTGTGTCAAGTGTGCGCACAACTTGTAAGTTTTCTGCGTTATTAATACATGTATTAATTATCCTCATTATTCAAGTGCCTTAGTAGTTTTGCAATGCCAAATTGTATTTTTTTTTTTTAATTACCATGATATCTCAATCTCCGCTTTAGCTTTTTCACTAAAACTATTTTTTTTATTTCTTCTGTTTTTTATTATAGTAGTTGCTTCAGACATTGTTATTTATTATTCTATTGCAATTCTTGTAAAAATTATTGTATGCTATTTTTTTAGAGTTATGTAGGTAGGTATGTATATTGTATGTGTCCATAATAGGTGTAGAAAAAAGTGGTTAATAGTTGCCGTGTCGTTTTTTATATCAGAAAAAATTAAACGAGAACACCAAATAGTTGTAACAGCATAACAAGAAATATTTTCAACCACAACAGCTGTTTGATGGGCAAAATCGTTTTTTTTTTTCATTTGCAAATATCGAGTGTAGATTTATTTGAAATTTTTAAGTTAAAACCGATAAATAGTTTCGGAGTTTGTTACAATTTTTAGCATAGTGAATAATACTTTTCTTTTGGTTTCCAGTTTGAGGTAATTTTAAGCAGAAAAATCTTCCTCACCACAAGATAACTTTCTTCGAAGATCTTCCTGGCAATCGGATGCGCTTGAAAATGTATATCGGAAATTAAAATTAAACACCCATTATTAAAATATAAATATACTTTTTCTGATTTTCCAATCGGAGCAACTAAATCCAAATCGACATGTATTTTACTGGTAGTAGAAACAAAAACAACGCTGCATATCCTTTGCAAACTTACACAATTACACGCCCATTTTTTACTCAATTGCTGTATTGCTGAGACTCCCAACTTTTAGATAAAAAGCACATTAGTATTTAGGTATCATTGTATGTATGTATTGTATATTGGTTTTATTCATTTTAATATAGGTATTTTATATTTAAATGGTATGTATGATTTGCGCATGTGTTTGTCATTATTATTTCATTAATTATTATTATTTCTTTTATGCTTGTGTGTCTATGTTCTATGCAAGTATCTATGTATGTATGTTTTGTATATAATTGGTTAATTAATTATGTTTACTGTTATTGCTACAAGAGATTCAACGCAATTCGTGGTTAGTGTGATGAATGCACTTCCTGTTTGCTTAATTTTATTATTCGAAGTTAGAAGTCTATCGTTTTGTGTAACCGTAAAAATCTTAGCCACACCTACATGGCCAATACAGTTGCACATTGGTATTTATTGGTTAAAATATAGCTATGTATTTATGTATATAAGTAATTTTTTTTTGTTTTCAGTTTTAGTTCGGCTTTTCATGCATTTCACTTGATTTTCGTTTCTAATTTCATGTTTCATTTTTTTACTATGCTATTTTTTCACTTTATCTGCAATAGTAATTTAGTAATAATACAAAAAAGTTACAGCAAATACAAATACTTAATATTTTGTTTTCGTATTTAGCAAACATTATCAATGTCAAAGTTAACCACAATATCATAGTTAGCATCAACGTCATTACAATTTCGAGTTTCATACGTATTGTTATGGCGAAAAGTCATTTAATTATCGTAGGTATACAAGTAAATTACGAATAAATTAAAACTTAACAAATACAGTTACAATAGTTACACTCATATACAATACAAATATTTTTTTTTTAATTTAATATTTTTTAGATTTAATATTTTTTAGTATATTTTGTTTATATTATGTTTTAATTCGATTTTGCTTTACTAACCTTCCAATACACTGTGTTTTCTACAATGTTTATTTATTATTATTATTATTTTTTTTTTTTTTGTAATTTTTCACTAGTTTTGTTTTTGCATATGCGTTTGTATACATGCATAATGAGTGTTATTCAACTAATACAATATAAATATGTTGTAAAAAAAAAAAATTATTACTGGTACTCATAGTATTCGATATATAAACAATACTTGCTAAATTTTACACACACACTAGCTATGCGTTTGAGTTTTAAAAAAGGAAATATCGAAAATTAAATTTTTTAAAATACTCGTGCAGCTTTTTTCACTTGCCGACACTTCACATAATTGTTAGCCAATTTTTTAAGTTCCGTTATCTCAAAAAATGTGTTGTCAATTTAAACAATTTGTATATTACACTTAACTGCGTAGCTTTTGCCTAGCAATACTTGTTCAATCAATTAGTAAGAATATTTAAAAGAAATAATATAAATATAATAGCTGCAACGTCCTTTGCACATGAAATAAAGTTAATAAGTTTACTATAATATCAACGGATTATAAATATATAATTTTTGCAAGTCTAACTTACAAGTTTGCACTCGCACTAAGGAAATAATTAATTTGTAATTATGCTATATAATTTGCGCGTTTGGTTATATGCTCACATACCACTTGGTTTCTGTTTCGATAGACACAAAATTATCAAATACTTAATAAAGATTGCACAAAAAACAAAAAATAAATAAAAAATGCATAAAAATGGAAATATAAATATATTAATATATGTCAGCATATGCTGTTGGTGATGATGATGATGTATAAGTGTTGTATGGTTATAAATTCTTAAATATTGGGCACAGGTTAACGGTCGTTGATTTATGTATGTAATTTCAGCAACTTTACGTCACCATTTCACATGACAATTCTTCAAACATTCGTAAGTTACAATTTATAAACTGTTTAATCCGCACTTTTTTCATTCTTGTTAATTGTTAATGGAGTGTTTTAATAGCAGCGGTAAACCAGTTTTAGTTTTTGATTTTGACACAAGTATAGTTGCAGTCTTGCCACCACCACTACTCGTCATTTGTGTGGCTACTTTAGTGGGCGACACAACAGCCGCAGCAGCAGCGGCAGACACAGTAGCTGTTGCGGCCACTCCGGCACCACTTGTGTTTGCAGTCACTGTACTTGTAGTGATAGTCAATGTTGCTGTGCAACCGGTTGCAAAGTGCTGTATATTAGTAGCCGCTGCTAGTTGTGTACTTCTGCTGATTGCCACTTGCGTTTGACGTTGATGTAACTCTTGCAGTAGTACGGAGTGTTTATTCATGGCGCGCAACACTTGTGGTCTAATAATTTTCTCACTATTTCCTGGTTGTTGCAAATGCTGTTGTAGCTGCTGTTGTTGCTGTTGCTGACTCATATGACTGGTAGTGTAAAATTTCTGAGTATCATCACATGTTTCGTTGAAAGATTGTAATTGTGAGTGAATTGATGTGATATTGGAGAGTGTGCTTTCGGTGTCACCACCAACCCCACCGCTGCTGCCACCCGTACCCGAAGCACCGTATTTTCTAATCGTTATCGTTTGTTGTTGTAATTGTTGTTCTACACCTGAAACCTGAACACAATAAAAAATTATACATTGAGGAAACTTTTCACTTTTTTTAATTTTAACTCTACTTTACCTTCTTAAAATAGCCCACATCTTTATCTCAAGTGCTTTTAGCTGGATGTATGATATTTTCCATGTCTTTTTGTACACTAAATAGTTCCGTTAAATGTTTGGAGAATAATGCATTCAATTCGCTTAACTTCCCCATTTGCTGCGTATGAAAATATAAATATATTTTACTTTTCCAGTAACGCGTGCTATTTTCAAAACTTACATTGTGATCAAGAGTTTTATCGCGTATGCTCATATTTGCCGCCTGTAATTCGATTTCTTGACTCATTAGTTCATTCTCTAGTGATTCGATGCGTCCTTTTAATAAACCAATTTCACGTCGTAAATCTTCGGCAATTTCCCCACCACCAGCAGCACCGGCCACAACACTACCACCTCCGCCGACACGAATCACTTCCAAATCACGTTTTAATCGTATATTTTCTTCCTTGTATGTGTGCAATTGACGCTTCCACTCGTCCACATTGGCGGTTGATTCCTGTCGTTAAGTGTGTAACGTTGAAAAACTTAAAAAATCGGTGTGAAATAAAGACACAATACCTGCAATGCACTTGTTAGGCGTATATTATTATTTTTCAACGTGGCCAATTCAATTTCCCATTTCTTTGCATTGGCGCAACTGCAATCGTATATTTTTAAAGGGATATTATTAAATAATTTACATCTAATTCGTAATTAATTATTTATTTTTCATACCTTTGTGCTAGTGCCATTTTAAGTCGTTCATTCTCGTATTTGAGTTGCTGCTCCCCTGTAGCGCCAGCACTTCCACCAGTGTGTACGCCTACAATACTGCCGCTTGAGGAGACTGTTACCGCCGTTGGAGCAGGTGATGGAGAGGCACCTGCAGTCAGCTCTTGTTTGACATCCGCTGCTGGCAATAGCTTATGTGATGGACTATCCGGGTTTGCATTTTGTGTATTCGTATTGGACATATTTGGTGGTTCCACAGTATGTGGATCTATGGCGGTGTTATCGTTTTGCTGCATACGCGATGATATTGGCGATGTATTAGCAGACGTTGTTGGCGTAACTACAGTTGAACCTGTAATGATAAAAATTAAAATAAACTACTTTGCAATTTATGTATGCATTTACCATTCGCAGCCTTTATTGCATTCTTTGTTGCTTCCTTCACTTCTTGAAACTTTTCCACAAACTAAAATGTATTTTTCATTAGCATCAACATATACTAAACATTAACATACCAAACACCATACCTTTGTTAATTCGGCTTCAGAGGCAAATCCTAAACCATAAACCGTATTAGCACGCACATCGCTCCATTGCCCAAATTTCTGTGATGTTTGCGTAAATGTCATATTGGGTGTTATTGTAGAGTTAATTACGGCTTTAGTACCTTCCACACTGATAATGCGGTAAAGGTTGCGGGACGAATCATAAAAGAAGCTCACATTGACCGCTTTCATACTTGCCGTAATCCATGTGCGCTTCGTTTTCGGGTCAATGTGGAAGACATGAGCCTGGCAGGTGAAAATCGGTTGCTCGCTTATGACAAAGTAGCAAAAATTTATTAATGTTATTAAATGTCTCAAAAAGTTAACACATGTGCACATATTCATTCATATTGTAATAAGAAAATGAAACTACTCTCAACTCTATTAAATATTCCATTATTATTATATTAGCTGGTACATATAGTCGTTATACCATTGTCATATTTCCTATGCATGCACATAATTTCTAACAACTTAATTGACTTCAACTGCATTAGCTAAGCACAAAATCCCAAAGCGACTTCCGCCCACAAACTAACATTTTCGTAGGTTGTAGAGCACTAGCAGGAAAAAGCTTTACACAAAAATTTTGATTTGTCTATAAATATTTTTGAATCGGAAGTACGCTTTATGAATAGTAATTTAAATATTTTCTATATATTCACATTCAATTGAGGTCTGGACTACACAATATTGGCTAACCACGGGCGGGGACACTTTTGCAATTGCAGCAAACACATTCACTGTAGCACTTATCAATAATATTACACAACACCTTAATATTTTTATATAAAATAATATAAACTGCGTTAAATATTTCTTGATATTTACCCCATTTTCTTTGTTTGGTCGTAAAAACTCCGGCTTTTTCAGCTTTTTGCAAAAGATTTTTCGGTTTCGATTTTTCCAATTACTCTAGTGTTGGTGTCAAACAATTACTGTGCTGCCAGATCAGTTGATGTGTGCTGTTATAACAATTTTCAATGTCCAAACAAAATTAATGGGATTTTATAACAGAGAGTTTTAAAACAAGTATCCAGCAAGTCACTTCCATGAAACTCAAATAAACTGAAAGGATTAGCGGGAAACAACGCATATACAACGCGAAACTCATAATTTCTTTGCGTCAGAAATGGGTATACGATCATAAATTTACGAGAAATTTTATAAGAATTGTTAATTGGCCATTAATACTAAAATCACGTTTAGCAGTACGGGGCTATTAATCGGTGATTTAACTGATAGCTGGGTAGCAGGGTATCTATACGATATATAAACTATTAATTCTTGTAGAGACCAAGTTGTTCAAATAGAAATAATACCTTAAGAAAAAAGAGTGCATAAAGAATAATAAATATGTTTCCTCAGTTTTATTGCTTCAAAAAAACTTAAGATTTTAAAAATACACCTGTGCAAATATTATCGATAACAGTTTTCCAATCGTCGGAGTCGGAGCTGACATTGATTATCACCTTCTAACTGGAATGTTAGAGTTATCAATTGTACGCCGTAACAGTGTTGCGGAGAAACTCGAACTTTGTAAACAAAACAATGTTACACTGTATATAGATTGTAAGCAATAAAAAATTAACAACCGAAAATTCTTATAACAAAATTACAACTAAGAAAAATATTATGCAGGTAATAAAATTCACGTTTTCACTTAAATTTTAACTCAATATTTTCATTTGACAACTACAATACATTTCGGTGCAACACTGCACTTCATCGATTCTGAAACACTGTCGATGTGTACCCATTTGTCAATTTTTCGCAACGGCACAGAAGAGATAGCGACAGTGGTTCTTATACAATTTTTAAGTAATTCTAACAATAATCCTTACAAAAAAGTAATTGGAAAATTGTGAAAAACGTGCAAACGCTGCTTGGTATAAGCACAAAAGGTTCCATGCAGCGAGGGAAACGTACAGATTGGGCAAGTTGAAGCATAAGCTGTAGCAACCATCACTACCTACACATATGACTTCAGGCCGCTGTGATAGGAATTTTAGGGCTTGGACAGTAATACTGCTATTACCAAGCCAACAAAGTATTTTAGTTAATACTATTTCATTTTATTATAAATAAAGTGTTGAGAATATCAATAACTACAAGTTTTAACGAAAAATCAGAACAGGCTTTACAACGCCCATGTATGTAGGCGATTAAGGGATGCTCATGCTTGTTATCTGTGACAGCAGAACTTCCAATAGGGAATGTCGGTAGGGTAATGGTGTTGATTATTGTATCGATGGATGGCAGGAGCCGAGATTTTTTCTTATGTGTTAAATATGTGAAAAATGTGTTGGTTCGCGGCGACAACGAAATATCAAGACATCCAAATGTGAAAAGTGAAATGGGCGTAGTGCCAACCATAATGTTTGACCAATGTATGCTAATTGGAGAGAGTCTTTGCAACGAAAACTTGCTACATCAAAATATGCTGCAAATAAAAATAAACAGCGATCGCTATAAAAGAAAAATACATTTTTTTTATTTTTATATTAATATGCCATAGTTTAGTGCGGAATTTACTCAAGTACTAATCTTGATATGTCAAAATTGCTGGTCACTTATCATGACATCAACATAATACCAAAGTTATGAGTGTTGGTTGTTATATGAAAAAACTATTTATCATAGTTTATTGACCTCGATAAAAGTAGTTTTAAAATCCTTGAATGTGTAGCTAATAAATTTCAATTAAATTGTCTTTAATCTACAGCTTTCGTGCGTGTGAGTGAGAAATTAAAATGTGGAATATGATGTGCGACGTAATGCCAACAATTTCGGAGGACAGTATCTCCCAGAGATCCTCACAATTCAGTGGCGAAGATGCCAACTTTGAGCAGCTTATGGTGTCCATGTTGGACGAACGTGACAAGCTTATGGACAGCTTGCGTGAAGCTCAAGAGCGACTCAGTGAAACGGAAGTTAAATTACACGATGTGGAAAAGGAGCGCGATAGTTTACAGCGGCAGATAAATGCCAATTTACCTCAAGTAAAATAAAAGTTTCGTCATATTGAGTTAAAACTTAAATTATAAAATTAATTATAGGAATTCGCCACTTTAACTAAAGAGCTGACGCAGGCGCGAGAAACATTATTGGAGCGTGATGAGGAAATTGGCGAACTTAAAGCTGAACGCAACAATACTCGGGTATATGCTATTAATAATTCTTATATTATTTTTATTTCATATTAAATTTTTATATTTTATTTCTATCCGACTACAGTTACTTTTGGAGCATTTGGAATGCTTAGTCGCACGCCATGAACGTTCCTTGCGAATGACGGTTGTAAAACGACAGGCTGCTGCGCAAAGTGGCGTCTCCAGTGAGGTGGAAGTGTTAAAAGCATTAAAGAGTCTATTCGAACATCATAAAGCTTTAGATGAAAAAGTACGTGAACGCCTGCGTTTATCAATCGAAAAGAATAATTCACTCGAAGAGGAATTAAATGCAACCAAAGAAGAGGTACGTTACTCTTTCAGTGCGTTATACGTTTTTATATTTATATTATTGTTTTTGTTTTTATTTAGCTTCAACAATATAAAACCGGTGCAATACAAGCCAATCGTGAAGCTAGCAATGAAAATGGTGTGAATGAGAAGGTAATTTTTCTCACTTAAATTCTTACAATTTTTTAACATTTCTAAATATTCAATACAAATATAACATTTATATATTTTTTTAATCATAATGCAATAGGTCGGCGGTGGCCTTAATGGTGAATCAAATGAAGCGAACGATTATGCTGCGAAAACGCATGAACTGCAAACTATAATCGAGAAACAAGTAAACCCTTTCATAACACATAAAAAATGCTTTGATTATAACATTTTTATATTCCATAGACTGCAGAGCTTTCGCAATGGCAGCGGCGTGTATCAGATTTGAATAGTAAAATATCCGAAATTGAGGAGAATTTAAGTAGAACTCAGAAGGAGTTGTGCAAGTCGCAAGAACAATGTTCGAAACTGCAAAGAGATTTGAGGGAAAATGTTGCACAAAAGGAGGATCAGGTTGGTGCAAATTCACTTCAGTTAAATGTAACCTAAAAATAACATTTGAATTGTTTATATACACGCAGGAGGAACGTATCGCCACATTGGAGAAACGTTATTTAAATGCTCAACGCGAATCGACATCTTTGCATGACTTGAACGAGAAACTAGAACAAGAATTGCGTCATAAAGAAGCACAAATTAAGGTAAGGAATTACAAAGTAGTGTCAGTTCAAACAATAAAAAAGAAAAAAAATTTAATGTAATTATAGTTACACGAGGAGAAGATTTGCGCAATCGAAGAGAAGTTGGAGTTATCTGAACAAAAGCTGGCGCAGCAGGCCAAATTACAGCCTGATATGGAAGAACAGCTTAAAGCACGCATGGAAGCTTTGACAAAGGTAGGAAATAAGGTATGCGTGATTGAATTTCTTACAAATGTGATGTGATGTGTAGTACGTATGTAGCGGCGTTTGTATGTTTGTGAGACGCTTGACTTTATTTCCTTCGGTATGTAGTTTTGCAACTTTTTGAATTTTTGTCCCAATTTTCCGTCTTGTCTTTTAGCTGCATTCTTTAAAGCTTGTCAATTACAATTAATTCGCGTTTCCACATATTTTTTCCCCAACTTATAGGCACAAGAACGCCATGGTTCAGCAGAAGATCGCATACAGCGTCTAGAGGCAAATTTGGAAGAGAAAAATGCAGAGGTTTTAAGACTGAACCAACGGTTGAAAATGAACGAGGAGCACAATTTAAGGTTGTCGTCCACCGTGGACAAATTGCTTTCCGAATCAAATGAGCGTTTGCAGGTACATTTGAAGGAACGCATGCATGCGCTTGACGAGAAGAACACACTGTCGCAGGAATTGGAGAAGGCGCGCAAAATGGCTGAGGAATTACACCACCAAAAGGGTGAAATCATGAAGGAATTGTCTAAAACGCGCTTGGAAATCGAAAATTTCAAACGACAATTGCTGCAGCAAGAGATCGCCTACAATATACAACAAACGGAGGCGCTTACACGCAGCCTATCGCCCAGCAGCGCTGTAGATGGTGGTGCCTTTTCGCGCAGCACTTCGCACGCCAGTTTCGATACGCATTCGTTGCGTCGCAGCAAGTCACGCATGCAAGAGGAGGCGAATATAGCGCGCTCTATGGCCGAACAAGAGTGGGAGAATCTACAGCAGGCGCATGCTCAGCAAGCGTACGAAATGTCTGCAGCTGTAGCCGCAGCAGCCGCTGCTGAATGTGAGGATAGTGAGGCCGCCGCGGCGGCAGTCATGTATGCCGCCTCTGATATAATGTCGCCCTCCGGACATGCGGATGCACAAACGTTGGCCATGATGTTGCAAGAGCAACTGGATGCCATCAACAATGAGATTCGTTTAATACAAGAGGAGAAGCAGTCAACTGAAGCGCGTGCCGAAGAGTTGGAATCGCGTGTGGGTAGTTTGGAGCATGTCAACTTGTTGGCGCGTGGTCGCTCGATGGACCGTCAGAGTCCACCGATGAGTGGGCGCAGCACACCAAACAGCCCCAACAGAGATTTCCTACAGAAGTATCACACAGTAAGCAGTAATATTATCTAAATTTTTACAAAAAATTTAAAAAAATTGTTTTCCAACAGTTAAATTTACCCGTTTTGTCGAGTGATATGTCGCGCGATGACATCCACGGCATGTCTACGACAGGCGACTCAAGTTCGGGTGGCGCCGCATCGCCGCTAACCGCCAGATCAATGCGGCTTGAACGTGTTGCGCAGGCCTTGGCCCATAGCCAAGAAGAGTTGCGGCGGCGTTCGGTTGGCATCTCACCAAATCAAGGTGTCGACCATACAAGGTAAGCCCAGACGCCGTACTTAAGTGTGTTTTTCATGTAAATAATTTACTCTTCATGTACATTGCAGTCATGTCGCT